AAGGAAGGGAAGGGTAAAGAAAAAAGGCAACGTAAGTACTTTTAAATGACTGATTCTACTGTAAAGGTTCTGTTTCCTTACAACTGTTAAAGACCACTCCTCACGATTTTATTCACATGTAGTCAAAACTAAGAATCTTTTTTTTTAAGATTTATTTATTTATTTATTTATTATGTATACAGTGTTCTGTCTGTCTGTCTGCTGGCCAGAAGAGGGCACCAGATCTCATTACAGATGGTTGTGAGTCACCATGTGGTTGCTGAGAATTGAACTCAGGCCCTCTGGAAGAGCAGTCAGTGCTCTTAACCTCTGAGCCATCTCTCCAGCCCCAAAACTAAGACTCTTTTAAAATATTTTCCTAACTATCTTTAATATGCATATAAACATTAGTTACCACCAAAGTTATCCCATCAGCATTACTTTGTTATCCCTCATCCAGGTTCATACACAGCAACAGCATTTCAATCACTGCTGCTTAGCAGCCTGCATCACTTGCCTGGCCACAACCCTTCTTCAGAACATGCTTTTCATTTTCTCACCTGTTCCTAAGCCTTTTGTCATTCTCCCACACCAGTACAGAAGACTGAACATGGGGCCCTGTGCATGCTGGGCAAGTGCTCTATGGCCGGGCTCTAGCTCCAGCCTCTTTTCCCATTTTGAGACAGTCTCACTAAGGTGTTAGTTAGTCTGTACGGAGTCCACCTGTACCACAGCCAAGTCTTTTTCAGTAGACAGGGTCTCATTATGTAGCCCTGGTTGTCTTGGAATTCACTATGTACAAAAAAGACTGGCCCCAAACTCAGAGATTCACCTGTCTCTGCCTTCTGGGTGCTACAACTAAAGAGATGTGCTACCATGTCTGGTTAGGCTTTGAACTTCCTGCTTTGGTTTCTTTCTTTCCTTTTCTTTTCTTTTTTTTTGTTTGTTTGTTTGTTTGTTTTTCGATGACAGGGTTTCCCTGTAGTTTTAGAGCCTGTCCTGGAACTAGCTCTCATAGACCAGGCTGGCCTTGAACTCACAGAGATCCGCCTGCCTCTGCCTCTCTAGTGCTGGGATTAAAGGCGTGTACCACCACCCTCTATAAGAGCAACACCACCGCTATGTGGATCTGAGTTTGATTCCCATGTGGTAGTTCACAAACATCTGTAATTTCAGTTCCAGGAATCCAATGCCCTGTACACATACATTCATGCACACAAAAGTAATAAATGTAATTTTTTTCATGGAGAAAAAAAATAATAAATGTAGGATTTTTCATGGCTAATGATAGTCGATGCTGACATCTAGGTTCATTTTCTCATCTCTATTGCTGTGGCACCAATACGGCCGGACTCCACTAACACTCACACTAAAGGCTAGAGGTGTAGTTCAGTTGGTAAAGTACTTGTCTAGCACACACAAATCCCTGGGTTTGGTCCCCAGTACCACATATACCAGGTGTGGTGGCAACACCTGTAATTCTGGTACTCAGGAAGTAGAGGCAAGAGGCTTAGAAGTTCAAGTCAACCTGGATTACATAGTAAGTTTAAGAACAACCAAAGATATGTGCGACCCTGTCTCAAAAACAAAACAAAATCCTCACATTAAGGCTTAGTGTCCAGTGGTACAGTGTCCAGTGAAGTGGGGCCTGGTGGGAAGTCTGTGGTTTAAGGTGGAGGAGTAGGACTCTTATAAATGTAGTAATGTCTTTCTGCTGACGAGTTAAGCTCTAGGAGGATTAGACACCATGAACATGGGTTGTCACAAAACAAATCTGTCTTTTCTGAGCTCCTCTCTGGACACATACATTGATTGTTTTGTAATAGAAACAGGAAACTTGGGGCATCTGAGCCAGAGGCTCCCTGTTTTCACCCCCAGCCCCGGCTATACGTGTGTGTCAGCAGTAGTGTGCACCACCATGCTCAGCGTTTATGTGGATGTTGGAGATCAGACTCAAGTTCTTGTGCTTGCAAAGCAAACACTTTACTGAGCTATCTCCCCAAGCTCCCTGCCTCTGCCCAATTATTTCTTTATTTTTGTTCTGTTGTTTTTTGGTTTTAGAAACAGGGTCTTGCTATATAGCATAGCCAGGATCTGAACACTCAACCCTCCTGCCTCTGCCTCAACAGAACTGAGATTGTAGGCATTCAATACCATGCCTGACAATATTTTTAAATTTTAAAATTTTAAATGAAACATTTCAGATTTCTAAGTCCCTTTGCGTATTTGCATGTGTGCGTGCGTGTGTGCGTGCGTCTGTCTCCCTCCCCCTCTTTTTCACTTATTTTTCATTTTTTGAGACAGGGTTTCTCTGTGTAATCCTGACTGGACTGGAACTCATGCTGCAGATTGTCTCTGCCACCACCGCTCGGCTACCATGCTTAGTTTCTAAATCTTATTTTTTTTAACTAATTTAAAGTAAAAATGTTTCTTATTTCTTTTTTTTTATTTATTTATTATGTATACAATATTCTATCTACATGTATGCCTGCTGGCCAGAAGAGGGCACCAGACCTCATTACAGATGGCTGTGAGCCACCATGTGGTTGCTGGGAATTGAACTCAGCACCTTTGGAAGAGCAGGCAATGTTCTTAACCTCTGAGCCATCTCTCCAGCCCATGTTTCTTATTTCTAAATCAAAGATTTATGTTTAAAAAAATAAAATAGTGTGGTAGAAGGAAGCATGATGAACAGCACTGCTGCAGCCTGGGCTGCAAAGAAAGACCTTATCTCGAAGAACAGGAGGAGGAACAATTAGAAGAGGAGGAGGATGTCAAAATGGAAAAGTGAAGCAGCAGTGGCCACAGTGACTTGTGCACACCAACTCACCAACACCCTGTCTCCGATCTTGAGTTCCCGCTCTCCTTTCTTGACAGAGCCAGCCTCTGAAAGGTTGGAGATTGACTCGCTGGCAGTTTTCGTAAGGTTGCTGATCTGTGATGGAGTTGAAGTTTCTTTTGTTGTTGACTGGGATGGTTTGTGGGGAATATTCGAGGGAGTGGCTGTAGCAGTGGACAGAGGTGAAGCAGTTCTGACAGGAGCTGTCTGCAGGCCATTGGCTTCATCTTCTGCTTGCACCTTCCTTGTTAACTTTGAAGGCCGGGTAAATATCCCCTTTAAAGGTTCACACTGGAAATACCGAACTCCTGCCACCGAACCGTCGTTCTTTCCTATGGGTTCATCTAAAACAATCCCAGCCCACTGGCCTGGTGCAAATTGAGTTTCCCCAAGAAACTGGATAAATCCAGGCTTATTGCCATTCACCCAAACACGTTCTCCAACTCGAAAGTCATCCACAAATTCATCTTGGGCCTCAGAGGATGGAGGGCCTGCGGCTTTTTCACTGGGTACTGTCTTCTCCACTGGAGCTGCAGCTGAAAACAAAGAAGGGTTAGAAAGACTCAACATCATAATCAACAGTTACCTTCTAACTTAAAGAAAAACACAGAGTGGGCTGGAGAGACTGCCCAGTGGTTATAAGCACTTGACTCTCTTGCAGGGGTACCCAGGTTCAATCCCTAGCACCCACATGGTGGCTCACAACTGTCAATAACTACAGGTTCAGGGATCTGACATCCTTTCTCTGCTGGCCCCAGACACCCATACACATTAATAATAATAATAATAATAATAATAATAATAATAATAATAATAATAATGACTACTTTAGGCCGGCTGTGGTGGGGCACAGCTTTAATGCCAGCACTTAGGAGACAGAGACAGGCGATCTCTGTTAGTTCGAGGCCAGTCTGGTCTACAGAGCAAATTCCAGGACAGGATCCAAAGGTACAGAGAAACCCTGTCTCAAAAAACAAAAAACAAAACAAAAAACAAAAAGCTTTAAACCTAAAGAGAGAGAAAACAATAGCAATATGAACAGACCATGGCTTGTTGGACAAATTTTGTGTTTGTCTGTTTTTAAGCAAGGAGGTAGAACACAGTCAAAACCGTGAGCTGTGGAGTGAGGTTTATTCTACTTTTGCAATTAAGACTGGACATCATTAAGGCAAGAAAAAAAGTTCTGAGTTCATGGCCACCCCACTCCCTTCCTGAACATTTCAGGAATACCTGTCAGATCCACTAAGACTCATTCATTCTCATATCAGAGTATGTCACGCCAACAAAACTCAGACTATTCAACCAGACACATGGAGTCATGTTTGACAGATGAAAGGATTTGGGGCTGAGGCCCCTGCCATCTCTATAGCAACACTATTATCGCCTTTGACGGTGGAGGTAGAATCACAGTAAAAACAAAAAGATAGCCAAAAGCCCCGGGAAGGCAAAATACTTTAGTGCAACCTCTGTCCTATCATAAAGATAACAGTTAATATGCCAGAAATGTGTATTTACACTGAAAACATCCATTCAGTCATCCAATAGGGATTTATTAAACATTTAGTGTAATTTGGAAAAGTGCACATTCCTAACCAGACTATCATGATCTCAGGATGTGACACAACCTCCCTGATTTGATTTCTTCCCCTGTAGGGAGGCTGTGAACTCTCTTGAAGGCACTTAAAAAGAAAATTAAATGACTTAATGTATTTATTTGTCCTCCACATATTTAAGCAGCTGCTGCATCTCTAGGACTAGTTCAAGGTATTGTTCTCTGCCAGGAAGCAAAGCAAGACAGCACAGTCCGTGCCCTCAAAGAGGTCAGAGAGACAAGAACGCAGGTAGCCTGAGTGCTGTGGAGAAGACAAGCCCAACACATACCCAACAATTGACATCTAGGCTGAGGCCTAAGTGTCAAAAAAAATGTAAGCAAAACTGGGAGAAAACCTGAACTGTGGGCAACACTTTTGTGTTGTTTGTAAACTCCCAGTCTAAGACCATTTGTTTTGCAGCAGTTCTCAACCTTTCACAGGGTCACCTAAGACCACCAGAAAACACAGATATCTATATTACAATTCATAACAGCAGCAAAAACAATTATGAAGTAGCAATGAAATAATTTTATGGTCACCACAATATTAGGAACTGTATTAAAGGGCTGCAGTACTGAAGTTGAGAATACTGTGTTAAAGCCATCTGCATGGACTGAATCACTTACGCATAAAATGTCTGGGAAAAGCTTCCTCACTGACTTGAAAGCCAACTACAGTTCAGTTAGTGTCATAAAATCTTTTTTTAAAAAAATATTTATTTATTTATTTATTAAGTATACCTAATTCTGTCTGTGTGTATGCCTATAGGCCAGAAGAGGGCACCAGACCTCATTACAGATAGTTGTGAGCCACCATGTGGTTGCTGGGAATTGAACTCAGGACCTTTGGAAGAGCAGGCAATGCTCTTAACTCCAGCCCCATGTCATAAATCTTTAGAGTAGACTACTGTTTATTTGTTTCTAATTCCATGGAGAAAGATCTGGAAAAATTAAGAGAAATCAAAATACCTTCTTAATACTGTAGGGATCAAATAACTCAAGTGACTTAACTTAACAATTATTTTAACTACTCCCACTAAATCAACTAAATTAAGAAAGAATAATCTCCAAAAATTGATTTTTAAGAATTCTACATCTACCAGGCAGTGGTGGTGCACTCCTTTAATCCCAGCACTCGGGAGGCAAAGGCAGGTGGATCTTTCTGAGTTCGAGGTCAGCCTGGTCTAAAGAGTGAGTTCCAGGACAGCCAGAGCTACACAGAGACCTTGTCCTGGAAATAAAAGAAGAAGAATTCTAGCTCTGAGTGGCTGTGTGTGGCTCACTAGGTAATTAATGTGCTTGGAGGACTTGAGATTGGTGCATCGGCATAAAGAAACTATGTGGGGCAGAGACAGGAAAGTCCTGGAGTTCACTGGACAGCTACCCTAGCCTCCACGTCCAGTTCCAGGTTTAGTGTCCCAAAAGCTGGGTGGAGAACAACTGAAGAACATACCTAACATGACCCTGACCTGCAGAGGTGCATGGACGGGGAGTGTGCATGCACACATGGACACACAAGTTGTGTTGCTGTTCTTTGTTTTGCTCTGTATTTCTTTTCCAAAGAAAGGATTTCTCTGCATAGCTGTGGCAGTCCTGGAACTGACTCTGTAGACCAGGCTGGCCTCCAACTCAGAGATCCTTCTGCCTCTGCTATGCAGAGAAACTCTGTCCCAAAATGAAATAATATAAAAAAAAAATAAAAAGTAAACATTACCAGCGGCAGGTGTCTTCAAGGCTGTGCTTCCAGGCTTAAAGATCTTGGTAGGGGCCTTCAGCCCGCTTGGTTTTAGCATACTCATCTTTTTGGAAGGTCAGACAGCTTTCCCTTGTTGGTACCACTATCTTTCCCCAATCATCCATACAAATGTGGGAGTTTCTATAGAGAACTTAATCTCTCGATTAAACCTGAAAAGAGAAACATATCAGAAGAAAGAAAACAGGGACAATAGTTAGTCCAAATTCCAAACGGTACAGTAGTGGTGCATTCTTTTATTTAATCTAGGCAAGAGAATCACAGGAAGTCATCGTTTTGTTGTTTGGGTTGGGTTTTTTTGGGGGGGGTGCTTCTGGAGAACTCACTAATTTTTAAGAATATAGAGGAATTCTAAGAAAAGTGTTTCCCGGGGCTGAAGCAGTGGCACAGTGGTTAGAGCACTGGCTGTTCTTCCAGAGGACCCAGGTTCAATTCCCAGCACCCACAAGGTGGTGGCACAGAGAGAAGTTTTCATCATTGCACACAGGACTGACAGTTCTACTGGACAGCGGCATCCCACAAGCTCCTCTACCTAAAGGTACTCTCCTTGCCAAAGAATCTAACATATCACGTGACTGCCTGAGCAGCTGGAGAGCTCAGCAATTAGGAGCACTTTTTACTCTTGCAGAAGACCCAGTTTGGTTCTTCCCTGCACCCAGGTCAGACAGCCACAACTACCTGTAACTCCAGTACCAGATGCTCTGTCATCTGTCACCCTCTTCTGACATACATATATGCAAAATGTTTATACACATAAAAATCAATATAAAAATTTTAAAGGTGACTGCCTGAGCCCAGCATGGTGGTGTCTGCCTCTGATCCCAGCACTCAGAGGAGGCAGAAGCAGGAGGATCTTTATGAGTTCAAGACCAGCCTACAGAGTTAGTTCTAGGACAGCCAGAGATACATACATACAGTCTGTCGAGAGGGGGGGGAGGGGGGAAGAAAGAAAAAAGCCAGCAAATGAGTGAATGAAGTAAGTTCAGAAGATATTAGTGGTGTGACTCCACACTATCAGCTGTTTCCAAAATATGGATCACAATATCTCAAAGTTAAATGATGCACAGCTACTGAACAAAGCAAACTATATCCAAAGCACACAGGGGAAATCCAACAAGTTCAAAAAATTAATAGCTATGTCACCATAATAAATAATACCTCCCCACATGAAAGACCTTGTGTCGATGTATATAAACTTTTGAATATATTTTTCAGTTAATCACATCCAAGGAGGTAGCTCAGACCTGTGATGCCAGAAACTGGGAGAAAAGAGTAGGACGGCTGCCTTACGTGCTGGGCTAGCCAGGGCTACATTGAGTGAGACCCCGTCCCAAGAAAAAAACATTGCTTTACAGCCTTGCTTTCCACACAACAATACCGGTGTGTGTGTGTGTGTGTGTGTGTGTGTGTGTGTGTGTGTGTGCGTGCGCGTGCGCGCATAGGAGTCTTGCATTTACAACACTGAATGATACCTTATAGGTTTTTATTGTTGTTGTTTTTGATTTTGAGACAGGGTTTTTCTGTACCTTTTGGAGCCTGTCATGAAGTCACTCTGTAGACCAGGCTGGAACTCACAGAGATTTCCCTGTCATGCACCACCACCACCCAGTGCCTCAGAGTTTTTTTGTTTTGTTTTGTTTTTTGGGTGTTTTTTTGTTTTTGTTTTTGTTTTTTTAGTCAAGAACTATTTGTAAAGTGTTTATCTTTAGAACTACATCATCTCCGAGAAGTTAAAAACAGCTACTGTTTTGCTTGCACTCCTAACAGAAGAAGCAGGAAGAGCACCTACTTGAAAGCACCAAGCAGTACCAGGAGCTCAGCATGAAGGACTCTGACTACACAATCCCTTCTTGCTCCTTCTCACTAAAGGTTTTACACTTCCGCCCCAAACAGGAAGCTGTATTGCTCAACATCAACACTAAAGCAACTGTTTTGCTGTCCCGTGTGCCCTACAGAATTTCTTGAAGACAAAGGCAAACCTGAAATTTTTTTTAAATATTTATTTATTTATTTATTTATTTATTTATTTATTATGTATACACTATTCTGTCTGTGTGTATACCTGCAGGCCAGAAGAGGGCACCAGACTTCATTACAGATGGTTGTGAGCCACCATGTGGTTGTTGAGAATTGAACTCAGGACCTTTGGAAGAGCAGGCAATGCTCTTAACCACTGAGCCATCTCTCCAGCCCCAAACCTGAAAATTTTTGAACTAGATTATTATCTTAAGTTTGTAATTTAACTAAGATCTGATCTAGAACCCAAGACTAAAGGAGCAAAGTATTTATTTCAAAGAAGCAAATAACCTTAGATGATGTATCCTTGGGTTTTTTTTTTTTTAAAAAAAGGTGTGCTTTATACTTTTTTAAATTTATTATTTATATAGTGTCCTGTCTGCATGCGCCAGAAGAGGGCACCAGATCTCATTACAGGAGGTTGTGAGCTGTCATGTAGTTGCAGGGAACTGAATTCATGAGGGCTGGAGAGATGGCTCAGAAGTTAAGGAGCACGGACTGCTGTTTTATTCTCAAGTTTGCTTATAGTTACAATTCCAGAAAGTAGGATATTCTTCTATTCTAAAAAAGTGTCCATCCCCTATGAAGTTATGGTTTAGACCACATCTTTTATGTGTGGGGGAGGTATGTTATTAGGATTTGTTTGCTTGGTTTTCAATTTTTTGTTTTGTTTTTGTTTTTCGAGACAGGGTTTCTCTGTAGCTTTGGAGATGTCCTGGAACTCGCTCTGTAGACCAGGCAGAAAATACTTTTTTTTATTAGGGGTGTGTGTGTGTGTGTGTGTGTGTGTGTGTGTGTGTGTGTGTGTGTGTGAACATGAGTGTAGGTGTCTTCAGAGATCAGAGGTATCAGATTCCCAATGAACTGGAGTTAGAGGCAGTTTGGAGTTGAGTGTTCTTAACCATTAGCTGTCTCTCCAGACCCTTATTTGCTTTAAGAAAATATTCATTTATTCATTCGTTCATTTATTCATGGGTGCATGTATGGAAGTTAGAGAACTACTTGCCAGTGTAGTGTCAGCTCACTCTTTCCACCATATGAGGGGATCTCACTCGGGTAGTCAACCTGGGTGGTAAGCACCTTTACCTGCTGAGCCATCTTCACGAGCCCAGGTATTTGCTATGGTATGCTATGGTCTAAGTGTCCTTGAACTTCTGGCAATCTTTTTGCCTCAGTCTCCCAAGGTGCTGGGATTAAAGTTGTCCACAACACCCCCCCCCAGCTTTGGTGTACATTGTATCAAATATATTGTTACAATTCAATATCTAACCACAATAACACCTAGAGCAGTGATTCTCAGCCTTTCTTTTCATTTTCATTGTTTTGTTTTTGGAGATAGATTCTCTGTATAGCTCTGGCTGCCATGGAACTCACTCTGTAGACCAGGCTAGCCTCGAACTCAGAGATCTGCCTGCCTCTGCCTCTCAAGTGCTGGGACTAAAGGTGTGCTCTACCACTGCTTGGCTGATTCTCAATCTTTCTAATGCTGTGACCCTTAAATATAGTTCCTCATGCTGTGGTGACCCCCAACCATAAAATTATTTTCACTGCTACTTCATACCTAGTACCTTTGCTACTGTTATGAATCATAATGTAAATATCTGTGCTTTCCTATGGTGTTGGATGACCCCTGTGAAAGTGCCATTCAACCCCAAAAGGGTCAAGCCCCACAGGCTAAATACCACTGGTCTTCCAATCATGAGAATGGTACCATGTTCAGCAAGCACCACAATGAACAGCTATCACTAGTTTCAAGGTTCCCTAGCCAGCGGTGGTAGGAGGCATCTTTAATCTTACACTTGGTGCGGGGCAGTGGTGGCACTGCCTTTAATCACAGCACTTGGGAGGCAGGCGGATCTCTGTGAGTTCAAGGCCAGCCTGGTCTACAAGAGCAAGTTCCAGGAAAGGCAACAGAGAAATCTTGTCTCGAAAAAAAACCTAAATAAATAAATAAATCTTAGCACTTGGAAGGCAGAGGCAGGCGGATTTCTGAGTTAGAGGCACGTAGTCTACAGAGTGAGTACTGGGACAGTCAGGGATACACAGAGAAATACTGTCTCAAAAAGCAAACAGAAAGAATTCAAGGTCCCCATTTTCCTCAGATACAACTTCTCTCTAAACTTTGAATAGGAAATTACAGAAAAATAGTATTCTGATCAGAAACAAATTTTTAAAGATTGAGCATGTGGGTCAGTATCATAATCTTCTCAAAATACAGGGCATATGTTTACTATGTACTCTTTAACAAGCAATCACCTAAAACCTGCCTCATAAAAGTAGAAGTAGGAACAACCAAGTTTAGAGAGATGATGCAGCGGTTAAGAGCACTCAATTGCTCTTTTAGAAGACCTGGGTTCAGTTCCCAGAACCCACATCGTTGTTTGCGTCTAGTTCCAGGGCATGTCCACCACCTGACCTCCACAGGAATAAGGCACACCCGTGGTACATAGACATACATGCAGGCAAAACACTCATGCATCTAAAAATAAATATTTTTTAAACATTCCTTTAAAAAACCATTTAAAGCAGTTAAATACTGCCCCGAGGTCAAAGTTCACCTCTAACTGGCAATTTCAGGGATTTTGCTTGCTAGCTTTTCTCCTGGTTTTGTCACAGTCTCACATAACCTGGCACATGGAATGTAGCTAAGGCTGGAATTGAACCCTCCTTATCTCTTTCCATGTGCTGGAAGGAGCAATTTCAAATTTCTACAATCTGTGTGTATGTTATCTCATTCCTAAAAGAAAACAGGGACATGTGACTGAGGAAAAGAAGGGAGCACACAGGGCACAATCTACCAGACGGGAGCACACAAGTTTAGGTTCTATCTTAAAACACAAGAGAGACCCTGTCCCACACACATGCATGCACGCACACACACACTCTCACACATAGCAAAGCCAGGCATAGCACACCAACCAGGGTTACACAGAGAAACCCTGTCTCTCTCTCTCTCTCTCTCTCTCTCTCTCTCACACACACACACACACACACACACATACACACACACTCTCACAAGTAAAGCTAGGTATAGTGGCACAGGCCTATAATGCAAGCACTTAGGAGACAGAAACAAGAGGATCATGAGTTCAAGGCCAGCCTGGAACATATATCAAGTTCAAAGCCAGCTAAGACT